GGTGACTGAGGGACTTGAAATGGAGGTAACAGAGGCAGAAAACTCAGCAGCAGAGGCAACAAATTTCATGCTGGTACAATGTTTTTGCCAGCTTAAAGATAGATGAAAAGCATTTCAGCTCTGGGATATATAATATTCATTAATTTATGAATTTTATTACTTATGTTTCTTTCCCTTCAGGATCTCAGAGGCAGTGTCTACCTTCATTTTGTCCTCAAAACAAAAACCGCTGAGATAGGTTGGGCTGAAAAAGAATGATTTGCACAGATTTACCAGTGAGGATAACTTCGTAGTGCTACTCCACTCCTTTAGCCAACATACCTTACTGGTTTTCTTTATCTACGTAATGTCAGGCCAACCTGTGGAACATGCTGCATCTTGAGAAACACATCTACTTCCACAGTAAATCCCTACCCTTTCAATTCAAAATCTCCAAGACAAAGATCATAGATCTTCATTCTTTTCCTGAAATTAATCACCTCTAAGTGGCATCTGGAGAATGCCACTCCAGGTGAGACACTTTACAACTCCCCTCCCTATTGACTTTTTTGTTCCAGTTGATTCGCTTGCTTTGCTCACATTCAATTTACCTCTCCCTCTTGAAAACTAACCTTACCTGTTTGCTGCCAACCCTCCCTTGCCCCTTTCTATCGAGGAAGAAGAAGAAGAAGAAGAAGAAAAATATACAACTGTGCCAAAAATGAATGAGACGTGTGGGCGAGGCCTAATAAGGCACGACCACAAATGGGGTGGTGAGGGGAAAAAAACCCCATCCCTACTCAACTCTTCCACAGACACTTTTGCAAGACGGAACAGGAGACAAGATGATGGAAGTGATGGCAGTCTTCATGGTACTTTTGATTGGGACAACAATCAATGCTGCACATGCAGAAGGTAAGAGAGTTGTTGCTTGGCTGTTGTTTCAATGGATTCCATGGGAAATTAATGAATTGAATCATTTGGAATTGAAAGTATAAAAGATAATGTGCTATGTCTCTCATCGAACATCCACAGGCTAAACAGGCATTCCTCAACAAAATGCAAATTCTTTAGGGTAGGTGGGAAAAGAATGTTAGCTGTGTGTCAGCATACTGCGTGAAACCTGGTGGAAGATGGAGGGAGGGGAGAAATGTTCCCACAACATGCTAAGCCTCATTAATTTATTTTCTGCTAAATATGTTTTGGTAAACCAGTCAGTATGGTGGATATATGGTTCAATGTATTATGCAAATACAGAAAATTAATTAAATCAGCAATCAAATTAAGCATGCTGTGTGAACACAGCCTTTGGACTGCAATTTCTACCTCTTGCTAATTATGACTTGTTCTTTTAATGGACTGATTATTAACAAAATCCTAGTTTTTCACTGTTCATGGGGAAAAATATTAATCAATATATAAATGATTTGGTGGAAAGAGAATGAACAATGATTTGTATAGAGCCCTTTCCCAAAATAAGGTGACAATCAGGACCTAATTATGAAAAGGTCCATTAAGACTGTTCAACTCTCAATTCTCCAGTTTCTGTTTTTAAAGAAGAAAAAATATGTTCAATGGCATTTTTAGATTTCTCTTTTGAGAAGATTTTAAATTAACAAATAGCATAAACTGTCACAGGCAACAACCTGGTTCAGCAGATCTTGACATGAAACAGATGACAGCAAAGTGGAAAAGCGACTTGAAAGTCGATCAATGGGAAATGTTCTCGCTCCTTTAATAATTAAAACAATGAATAATCTTTGTAATACATTTAGTAATCATAATCTGATGTTCTAGAAACCCTAGATTTACATGGACAATTTTCTGGTTGATATCCCGTTCAATTTTTGTTTTTAGTAATATGTTCATTCAAACAACTAAAAGGACGAAGAGTTTCTATTTTAAAAGTAAGATTTCTTTCCAGATAAACTTTGTTTCTATTCTATTTTTGTGAGGGAGAACTAAAGTTATAGTTTGTGACATAATAAACAAGGTTATATAACCTTCATTTGATGCAGGATGTTCAAATTAGTATTGACTGTGGGTTATTGCGTAGACAAATCCCTGCAGTTTTCTTAAGTTTATGATTCAATATTTTAAGACCACCTCCAAGAATTCATAGTCTTGACTGCTATCCCGGCCACCTTTCTTGTGGATGGGTGGCTGACGATTCTTGACATTCTGAGCTTCCCTCATGTCCATCTAACTCAGCAAAAGCTTACCTGCAACCCTGGCTTATAGTCATCCCCCCAGTTTTAAATGTGTGCGCGCGCACCCACACACACACACACACACACACACACTTGGGTAAGTGCAGTGAGTTTTGACAGATTTCTAAACCAGGAATCTCTGGAGCAAGTCAAGATTTTTTCAGAATGATATGTACATCTTTCCTTACTTGCTTATGTGAGACATTTTGACCCAAGTATAATAAGAGTGAAGCTAACATCACAGATCATATTTTATTATTGCCCTCCTTCTTCCCTATGGATGCCCATGGGTTAAAATTGATGGCCTAGCCATGTATCCAAATTCATGTTTTCCCCAGTCAAAAATAGAATAACTGAATAACAGAGTTGGAGGGGACATTGGAGGTATTCTAGTCCAACCCCCTGCTCAGGCAGGAAACTATACCATTTCAGACAAATGTATATCCAATCTCTTCTTTAAAACCTCCAGAGCTGGCGCATCCGCAACTTCTGGAGGCAAGTCATTCCATTGATTAATTGTTCTAACTGTCAGGAAATTTCTCCTTAGTTCTAGGTTGCTTCTCTCTTTGGTTAGTTTCCATCCATTGCTTCTTGTCCTGCCTTCTGGTGCTTTGTAGAATAGGTTGACTCCCTCTTCTTTGTGGCAGCCCCTGAGATATTGGAACACTGCTATCATGTCCCCCCTCGTCCTTCTCTTCATTAAACTAGACATACCCAATTCCAGCAACCGTTCTTCATATGTTTTAGCCTCCAGTCCCCTAATCCTCTTTGTTGCTCTTCTCTGTATTCTTTCTAGAATCTCAACTTTTTTTTTTATATTGTGGAGACCAAAACTGGATGCAGTATTCCAAGTGTGGTCTTACAAGACATTATAAAGTGGTACTAACACTTCACGTGATCTTAATTCTATCCCTCTGTTAATGCAGCCTAGGACTGCATTGGCTTTTTCGGCAGCTGCAGCACACTGCTGGCTCATATTTAAGTGATTGTCCACTAGGACTCCAAGATCCCTCTCACAGTTACTACTATTGAGCCAAGTACCTGTGCATTTGGGTTTTTTTTGCCTAAATGTAGAACCTTACTTTTTTCACCATTTTGTTAGATAGGCCCCAACGTTCAAGTCTGTCAAGATCCATCTATATATTGTGCCTATCTTCTGGAGTATTTGCTGGATCTTTCTCTGCAGAATGGCGATGTCTGGTGAGAGGGGAAGGAAACAAAGGCAGGAAACTCAGCTGATCCCTGTTTTAACCTGCCTCTACCCCATAAATCAACATAAATTATTTGCTAGCATAGGGCTTGAAGTTGCAGAGGGATCTGCCAAGAAGCAACAAGACTTATGCAAGAAAAAGCATTCTGCTAACTCCGGAACTTGGGGACAACAATTCAACTAGATGCCAAGGAAGAAACCACTTCTGAAAATATGCAAAGAAATGCTAGGGTTTAGTGAACTTTAGGACAGGTGAGATTAGACTAAGTCTTTCCCGTTTTGTGTCTTCATTTAGTTCCATCCTTCAGCATGCTCATGGGGGAATGATATAAAATAATGGGGGAGAGATACTGTGGTCTGTTATTATCAACTACCAATGTCCACAGGAAGTGGTTTAAAAAAGGCAGCCACCGCAATGTAATCAAATTCCCTCTCCTTTGTACAGGCACGCAAACAAAAAGAGCAGGAATTTGATCATGAGCATAATTTTTCCCTTTTTGACCTCCTATGCAGATTAGGAAGCACCACTACCACCATCATTTTCTTACTGCTCCAGCTTCCCACTCCCATGTTCAAATCTAGAAGGGAAAACCATTTGGAAACTATAAAGTGCTATAAAGAGACCAGGCTGAAAAGTATAATTTTATTATAGCTGGTCCTCGACTTATGACCACAACTGAGCCCACAATTTCTGATGTTAAGTGAGACAGTTGTCAAGTGAGTTTTGCCCCATTTTACAACCTTTCTTGCCACAGATGTTAAGTGAATTACTGCAGTTGATAAGTTGGTAACCTGGATGTTACTGTAAGTGAATCTGGCTTCCCCACTGATTTTGCTTGTCCAAAGGTTGCAAAAGGTGATCACATGACCTTGGGAAACGGCAACGGTCGTAAGTATGACCCAGTTGCTAAGCATCTGAATTTTGATCACATGATCATGGGGATGCTACAAAGGTTGTAAGTGTTAAAAATGGGCATAAGTCACTTTTTTCAGTGCTGTTGTAACTTTGAACATCACTAAATGAAATGTTGTAAGCTGAGGACTACCTGTACATGCTTGGAAAAAATAACAGGATTTCACCTTAATACCATTTGACCAACAGATTGATCCTACTCACACCTCAAGATTAACTGGAATCATGGAATCATAGAATCTAAGGGGTGGAAGGGACCTTGGAGGTCTTCTAGTCCTCCCCAAAGCAGACATCTTTAGTCCATCCCAAATAAATAAATGGTTGTCCAATCTTTTCTTGAAAACCTCCAGCAATGGAGTACCCACAACTCCGGGAAGCAAGCCGTTCCATTGATTAATCATTCTCACTGTCAGAAAATTTCTCCTTAGTTTTAGTCTGGATCTCCTTCTGAAGAGCTTCCACCCAATTTTTCTTGTCCTGCCCCTCTTCCCTGTGACAACCTTCAAATATCTGAAGACCTGCTATTATGTCACCCTAACCTTTCTGTTTGTTAAGCTAAATATATTGTACCTAGTTCATTGTATGGTTTAGCCTCCAGACCCTTATCATCTTTGTGGCTCTTCTCTACAATCCGAGATTTTTTAATTATTATTTTTACTTCTTGGATGTTTTTATTTTACTTCTTACCTTGCAGCAAGATGAGCAGCAAACAAATTTAATAAATAATTATAATATTTTTTATTTTACTGATCAATATTTTAGCAACAATAGCAATGGCACGTGAGAAATACTTTTTGTTTCGGTTAAAAAAAAAGTCTTTCAGCAATGAAAAAGAGCTTTCTCAGATACAAAAATCTGAAGCCTCTCAAATATTTTAAGTATTTTGGACTTGAGCTTCAAGCAGCCCTTAACATAACCACCGTACTCTAGTTTCCAAAGTTCTTTTTCTGCACAGCTCAGATTTTAATCACATCACCCTTCCCTTCCTGCTTATCTATTTTAATACAATTTTGATAAACAAGAGGTGTTATGAAAATGCTTTAATTTTTTTTATATCTCCGACGATTAACCCACTGTAGAAAGTATTACGTGGAGAAGCCTTTGTGCTGTGGGACCTGAATGCAGAGGGAAAACTCACTTTGTTTTCTTTTTCCAGAATTGATTGACTATACTCCTCATCTCACTACTGAGGAAATAGCAGGGAAGATCACTGCTTCCACTTTTACCCTACAGCAACCACGCTGTGTCTTCTACAAGGTTGTCAGTCCCAGTGATGTGATCTGGCTGGTTGTGGCTCTTAGTACAGGTGTGTTACGATTCTTAGCAATGCGCTAGTAATAATTTCTAAAAGAGATGGAATAACCAACCACCAAGCGGCTCATTCTAGAGAAACAGATCTACACTACAGTTGCAATTACTATATTTATTGAGCTATCAGTCCTTGGGTGTTACTGAAAAAATACTAATCCCAGTTAAACTCTTTAAAAATCAGGTGATGTGGTCAGTAACTTTACTGTGTGAACTAAATGCCTGTGCAGTGGGGTTTTTTTTTGCATGGAACAGCCCTCGTTTTAATGATTATTCTTGATTCAAAGACAATGTGTGGTTACAATCTCTACTGTATGATCCAGTTTGGTTCCATGATAGAACATTCCATTAGATAAAGCTTTGGAAGTGCCATTATCGCTTCAGGAAGGTTTGGATGGGGAATTACAGTCCCCACTTTTCCCAAACAGTGTGAATTGAAATTCACCAGCAAATCAGTGATTTTTAGCAATGGGATTAGAGGAGGGTGGGAATTAAAATAGTTATTAAGCCTTCATCAAGATCAATGGTTTTATTTTATTTTTTATTCCAAGGCAACCCTCCAAACAAGACATGGACATTTCAGGGCTATACTTTCCAGTGACAGTACAACAACGTAACCTATCTCCCCATCTCCCTCTTTTTCACTAGGGCAATGTGCATAGATTTAATTTCCAAAAAACTTAACATCTGCAGAGTATGAAAGGAAAACAGCTGGGCTGGACCTCAATTGAATGTTAAGGGAATTGACTTGATCTCAAAGAATGATTGCATGCCATATATGCAGAAATGCCCTCTACTAGCTTATAATGGTCCAGGATCCTTGCACTGACAATGGATTGCAAAATAGAAGGCTGAAAATTGATTATAATGATAATAATAATAAAGTCCTGGCTTCTTTCCAGATACAGTAGGTTAGTTTGCATCCAGCACACGCTCATTTATCTTTATAGTCAGAACAGAGCAAGCACATAGAGAGACTGCTCAGATTAGTCACCCAAAAAATAATGCAGCTTGGTATTAATAATAAATATCAGCAAGCACCAAAACAGTTAATTGGCAAAGCTGGACAAAAGGCAGGCAAAAGCACAGAATGAGAGAAAGAAGAACAGGCAGTGATTTATATTGTCTATACATCTAACTATAGGTACAGTAGTTCTCAACTTATGACGAGTCACTGAGCAACTGTTCAAAGGACCTACCTGGAGGGTATTTATGACCGAGATTCAAAGTCGCCCTCCGCCCCTACAATCATGGGGTTGCACTTTGGATGCTAGGCAACCAGGCCACATTTATATCCATTTACTGTATATCCATGGTACTGTAACATGCTGAAAACCGGTGTTTACGTCTGGTTTTTGGCAAAACTAGCCCATAGTGAGCTGTAGTGTCATTTAACAACCCCAGCAATTGCTTAACAACTGTAGTGTTGACTTGCTTAATGACCTTCACAAAAAGGTAAAAAAAATTGGGTAGGTCATGTGACTGACTCACTTTACCACTGTCACAAGTTACGACCATGATAGGCAGGCTCCATCACAGTCATAACTGGAAGACTATGTGTATCAAAAAGGCCACTTTCCAGAACCACTGGAAACAGGACTCTGTTTCAATCAGCATGGGCTGTCCAAAGAGAGTGGCCTTTTGTTATTCCAGTTGTTTTCCTTTAATGTATTTAACAGTAGCAGAATAAGATGGAAAGAAGGCTTCCAGGTGATTCCCCCTTCTATCATGATTCCCTAGTTCCAGGTGATTCTCCTGCTACCAAGTGATTCTGCCTGCTTCTACCAGGTGATTCACCTCCTCCATTGTCCCATTGTGCTACCAGTTGGACTACTGTACTGTGCTCTACATGGGACTGTCCTTGAAGAGTACCCATTCAGCTGATTCAGAATGCAGCATGGGCACACATTACACCTCTGCTTGGCAAGTTGTATTGATTACCATTTTGTTTCCAGATCCAATTAAAGATGCAATTTTAAGCCCTACATGGCAAGGGATCATGTTATATGAGAGATCACATTTCCCCAATGATATCTTCCTGTCCTGCCAGATCCAGCAGAGAGGACATGCTACAGGTTCAGTCCACTAGGGAGCTATATTTGGGTGGGCCTTAAAGGGTGGACCCTTTCTTCTGTGACATCCTCCCCCTGAAGTGATGCTGTTTTTATCACTTTTGACTTTCTGAACAACTTGGTTGTGTCATTAGGGCCAGGGACTCACAGAGACTGGCAACATATTGAGATGGCTCCGTTATTACTAACATCCCTTTGTCCAACATTTCTTCTTAAGCTGTGCTTTTAATGTTTTTAGTAATAATAATAACCACAATAACAGTAATCTGTTATTTGTTAACTATTAGCTTTGTTGTACATTAGTACATTACCCAACCATCGCTTGTTTTGTGAGATGAATGGTATTTAAATTTGATGACGGTTTGGTGGACGAGGCATGATGGATCCACCACTCACAAACTTCAGCTTTGGTGGAACAGAGAAATAATTATTTGCTCTTTTTCCCCATAGCTGTGAAGACTTTCAAAAATCCCAGCACGCCTGAGGATCTGCCTTACCAATTTTTTGACACACATCATGTTTACATGACTTTGAACACCACGGTGTCGAATTACCCCTGTCCAGAAAAAAGTGAAGATGATGAAATTACCATCCTGCGTGTGGGGACTGAAACTCAGTGCGTTCTGGATCTTTCGCGGCCAGACTGTAATGGTCCTCTTCCAGGGCCAGGACCCTACAGGTGAGAAAAGAATGTTAGAAATTTCCCCGAAGTTCTCTATAGCTTATTTCTTCATTGTCTGAATTGATAGCAAAACAATACATGTCCATAATACAAAGCTGACACGTTTGAACTGTGGTGCTGTCATAAATTATGGCATACACCAGCCAGAGTAACTAACAGAGAAGTGTTAAATCGTATAAAACCAGACACTGGAAGCTAAAATCATAAGACTACATCTGATTTATTTTGGCCATGCTATGCATGTGAATTCATTGGAGAAGGCAATGATGTTAGGAATGGTTAGTGGACATAGAAGGGGAAAGCAAAGAACATGCTGGCTTCATAACATCAAATTTGATGCAAAGTTGAATATACAACAATTGAAAGAAACTGTGCTTGACAGGATAGCATGGAGAGCACTTGCCTATAAAGTCACCAAGAGTCGGATGTGACTAAATGGTTAAAAACAGCAATACATATCCCACGTACATAGACTATTCAAAGAGAGGAATGCATTTCAAAGTATATAATTCCAAAGTTGTCCAATCTGCCTAGGTATGTTTCTATATAAAGTATATATTAATGACCATTTTTAAGGCTTTCAAACCTTGGCCATGTACCTGAGCCTGGGGCTCTGAATGTATTAAGAGTCCTGTTTCTTGGCTTTAATGTTAATTGGTTAATTATCTCAGCTGCCGTATATATTTATTTTGGAGGTTTTTATTATTTTAAATATTTTTTAATGTTTAATTGCTTTTATATATTTATATTTTATGTATTTAGAACGGTGAGCTGCTGAGAGTCGCAGTTTAAGATGGGCAGCTAGAGAAATCAAATAAATAACTTCAAAAGCTACATCTATTCAGCCCAGATAATGTATACAAACTATTTTCCCATGATGTATTTCTTGTGCCTTGGCAATGCATAAATGATTTGGTCTAATGATTAAAAGACCAGGCTAGAACTCACCATGAGATTGTGGTTCTAGTCCCACTTTGGGCATAAAGCTGGCTGAGTTACTTTGGGCCAGTCATTCTTTCTTTCAGCCCAACCCACCTCACAGGGTTGTCGTTGTGGGGAAAATAGGAAGAGGAAAGAGTGCTACATATGTCCACTGCCCTGAGTTATTTATAAAAATTACAATGGTAGGATAAAAAATAAATAAATTTAAAAAATAATGTCACTTAATGTCATTAAGGCGGAAACACCAGTATCTCTTAATAATAATAATAATAATAATAATAATAATAATAATAATAATAATAATAATAATAATAATAATAATAATAATAAAGTTGGAAGGGACCTTGGAGGTCATCTAGTCCAATCCCCTGCTCAGGCAGGAAACCCTATACCATTTCGGACAAATGGCTGTCCAGTCTCTTCTTAAAAACTTCCAGTGTTGGAGCATTCACCACTTCTGGAGGCAGGTTGTTCCACTGGTTAATTGTTCTAACTGTCAGGAAGTTTCTCCTTAGTTCTAGGTTGCTTCTCTCTTTGGTCAGTTTCCACCCGTTGCTTCTCGTCCTGCCTTCAGGCGCCTTGGAAAATAGCTTGACTCCCTCTTCTTTGTGGCAGCCCCTGAGATATTGGAACACTGCTATCATTTTCCCCCTCGTCTTTCTCTTCATCCATTTCATTTTCAAATGAAGCCTCGTGTTAAAAATTAAAATGCAGAAGGAAGAAGTTAAAAAGGAGAAAAAGCAGACGAAAAATTAAAATATGGGAGATTTTGGATATGCATAGATATATATGCACACAAATGTGCTATGAAGTATAAATCCAAACATTTGAAACATTCATTCTCAATGTTGCTACTCAGCACAATTCTTGTTCAGTTGAAAGATATATGTTAAGAATAAAACTATTACTATTACTAATAAATGGTGACTCAGCTGAATACACTAGGGCATTGCTCAAAGCTCTTTGCTTTTGTTTTTCAAGCATTTCCTCCTTTAAGCATCTTTAAATGCCATTGATCCAAAGGAAGATGGATTTTTGTTTTCCACATGAAAATATCAATACACATTACACAGTTAACTTTCAGGATAAACAATGTTATGCAGAGCATTGAAAAGAAGTCAGAAATATTAAGCCCAAAAAAATTAAAGACATGAGATGAGAAAAAGAAAAGATAGATAAATCTGACTTACAGCAATACCTTTTATTAACCTTTTCATAGCCTTTTACCATTGCAAATCACCTTTGCTTCCAAGATGTGTTGATGTCATTATTTACACTCCCTTTTGTTCTTGACTTTCCCAGTGTTTTGTAACAATAGATCTAAAATTTGTTCTTCTAAGAAAAAAGCTCAATCAATTATTTATGTTGCAATAGCCTGTCTTAGGAAATATAGGCAGTAAATCAACAACACGATTTATTGTCAAAGGGTTATTTCTCCAAGAAACCTGGAGCAAAAAAATGACTAATTGGATGTTGTCACTTAAGGTAATTGTGTTACATTTCCTGTCCATTTCCTGTTACAAGTCACCTATTTGGGAAGAGATGAGAAATGGTTTGGTAGCCAATATGGGCGGTGGGAGATTGGGAGAAGGGAATCTAGAGGAAGATTTCTTTTAAAACTGTGATTTGCCTATTTTACAACATAGATCATAGAATAATAGAGTTGTAAGGGACCTTGGACATCTTCTAGTCCAAACCCCAGCTCAAGCAGGAGATCTTATACCACTTGAGCAGGAGAACCTATACCAGAGGTCCCCAACCTTGTCCACTTTATGACTTGTGGACTTCAACTTCCAGAATTCCTCAGCCAGAAGTTGAAGTCCACAAGTCATAAAGTGGACAAGGTTGGGAACCCCTGCCCTATACCATATATTTACAATATGATTGTCAGATACTTTTTTTATTGATCTGGGACAATCAATCATCAATCAATTATGTGTTCCCCATCTCAAAATGAAAGGACAATGGTCAGGTTTGGGTGCTCATGTTCAGAGTAGGTTCAAAAAGCCAGAATAAAAGGAATGTGGAAGTCCCACAGGACCGAGGAGCCACAGGTTTTCCACCCCTACATCAAGCCTGTCATGCTGAATTATGAACCTGTTTCACACACAAAAACACATCCTTTTTCTTTCTCATCCTCCCTGTTCTTCAGAAGAAGGTTTACCTTCTGCTGTAGAAAACCTTCTTTCTGTAAAGTGCAGAAAAAAGCAACAAAGGTGATTAGGGGACTGAAGGCTAAAATATATGAAGAACAGTTACAGGAATTGGGTATGTCTCTAGTCTAATGAAAAGAAGGACTGGGGTGACATGATAGCAATGTTCCAATATTTGAGAGGCTACCACAAAGAAGAGGGGGGGGTGACAACCTATTTTCCAAAGCACCAGTAGGCAGGACAAGAAGCAATGGATGGAAACTAATCAAGGATAGAAGCAACCTAGAGCTAAAGAGAAATTTCCTAATGGTGAGAATAATTAACCAGTGGAACAGCTTGCCTTCAGAAGTTGTGGGTGCTTCATCACTGGACCGCCATTTGTCTGAAATTGTATAGGGTCTTCTGCTTGAGTAGTGGGTTGGACTAGAAGATCTTCAAGGTCTCTTCCAACTCTGTTATTCTATTAACTTTAACACCCTGTGGAGGCTTTCTACTGATTATTTATTTATTTTAGTTCTTTTCTATTCTAGGATGTATGTCAACTCACTGCAGCCAACTCCCACAGCCAACTCTCCATGGTATGGCCAAGTCACTACAGGACAACTTGCCACAGGACAATTCAACAATTCAATTTAATTATTTAAAATAATTTTAAAAATATTTTAATTTTTATCATTCACATTTCATTTTGTCTCTCCTTCTGCATCCTTTCTTTAATGATAATATTCCACCATTTCTTTGATATCAGTGTAACTCTTGTCCTGTGGTGAGTTGTCTCATGACAAATTGGTTATGGCAGGTTGTCCTGCGGCAAGTTGGCTGCAGCAAGTTAGCTGTGGCAAGTGGGCCATGATGAGTTGTCCTAGACCTGAAAAATAATCAGGCAGGAACAGTTGCCATTTATTTGAAAAAAGCAATTGCTGATAAATTTTGGAACACCCCTCACTGTCATTAACACTCTTCTCTTTCCAGGGTCAAGTTCCTGGTAATGAATTCAACAAGCGTCATAAAGGAATCAAAATGGTCTGATCCCATCAAACTGATTCAAGGTAACTAGTCATGGGTACCAGTAGCATCACCTGTCACATATCCAGCCTGTTGGAATCCCATTCATTTTGGTTCCACAGTCACACATGGAACTAACTCTACAATATTTTATACACACTAACCTGAAAGTAAATCTCATTAAATTCAGTTGGGCTTCTTTCTGAAAAAAAGAGAAATTATATATTGAGGATTATTTTTAGTATAGTGATTTTTGTTACTATTTGTTATTTCCAACTCTCTAAAAACTCCCCAGTGTTGCTTCATGAATGGGCAACCTTAGACATTGGGGTCAGTTCATGATGCAAAACATGATTTACTGGAGTATTTCTCAATCTTGGCAACTTTAAGATATATCAACTTCAACTCCCAGAATTCCCCAACCAGCTTGCAAGATTGATAGCAATAGCAATAGCAATTGCACTTAGTCTCATATGCCGCTTTACAATGCTTTACAGCCCTCTCTAAGCAGTTTGCAGAGTCAGCATATTGCCCCCAGCAATCTGGGTCCTCATTTTACAAACCTCGGAAGGATGTAAGGCTGAGTCAACCTTGAGCTGTGAGGATCGAACCCCTGGCAGTTAGCAGAATTAGCCTGCAATACTGCATTCTAACCACTGTGCCACCACAGCTCATTAATGTTAGTCTTTCAAGGTGGAACAGACTAGAATGCCAGAGCTATGAATGCTAATGTGACTTTATTATAAGGTTTAGTAACAAAATCTTGCAAGTCTCAATGTGCTTCCCCCATCTTTTTATCTTCATGAAAATAAGGGAGGGTCAAATCTGAGACAAATTACATTTCTGCCTTGGACTCAGATTTCTTTTATCTGTCCACCACCTTGGCTGTGACTCTTCCTCCTGTTCCCCAAGATTATTCCTACTGCCCATTAGAGAGGTAGAGATAGAGAATTTTGCCATGGATTTTGCTAGGGTTCACAGTAAAATTAACATGAGCAGGAACAAGTTCTCTCCAGCTTTTATTGTTCTCTGGGGTGGGAGGATGCCCTCGCTCAGTAATGGAAATTTAGGGTTCAGTTGTGGCCATAAGTCAAGGACTACCTGTACAAATCCAGGAAGACTGGTGTTATATAAATCTACACTGGTTGGAGGTGCTTCTGTGCACTCTTACATATCTTGATTTCAAAGAATAATTTCAGTGTAGGCATTACAAAGTATTCCCTGTACTGGAGGAAGGGACACTTTTCTACAATGGTGCCTTGAAAGGATTGCATGATAAAAATGTAAATTTGTTTTTCACTAGGGAAAAATCCTGACAGCATTATTGTCAGACCCAGACGGCGGAGAACTGAGACAACCATCATTGCCACCATCCTGCCCATCCTCTTTGCCATTCTCCTGGCTGCTCTCATTGCCGCCTTGATCTATAAATAGTATGTTTCATATATCTATGAATATATGTATATGCACACAAATACATATATACACATTGTCTTTAATTGCATTAAAAATGCGAATCCTGGGTGTGTGCATGTTAGAAAAGCAAAAGAAATTGAGCACCAGGATAAAAATATAAACAAAACTATTTAATATAAAACCACTTAGCTTTCATCAGCCAAACTGCTGACATCGTCAGAGTGAAAGTAAAGGATCTGGGAGTTTACTTATATGGCCAGCTGCTTCTGTGCCCTGCTCCTTGAGCGAGTCACCGGTCCATTTGCTTAGATCGGCCATAATGCTCCTAGTCGTCTCACACCTCTCAGCATATTGGCGAGTTCACAAGCTGTTCCCCCGCCCGCAGTTGCTCCCTTAGCGCGCATGCAAATGCCCAGAGGCTGATTATCCAGAGGAGGGGAGCAAAGAGCAAAAGCGGCTGGATAATAAGCCTCTGGGCGTTTGCATGCACACTAAGGGAGCGACTGTGGGCGGGGGGAACAGCTTGTGAACTTGCCAATATGCTGAGAGGTGCAAGACGACTAGGAGCATTATGGCCGATTGAAGCAAATGGACTGGTGACTCGCTCAAGGAGCAGGGTGCAAAAGCAGCTGGCCGTATAAGTAAACTCCCAGATCCTTTACTTTCACTCTGACGATGTCAGCAGTTTGGCCGACGAAAGCTATATGGTTTTATATTAAACAGTTTTATTTATACTTTTATCCTGGTGCTCGATTTTTTTTGTTTTTCTAACATATATACACATACATACATACATACATACATACATACATACATACATACATTCATACATGGGAAGAGAATCTTATCCTGACCCAATCAGGTACCTTGAACCTATGGAGAGAGGTTCTTTTCCTATGTTCTGTGATATTGGCTCATATGCTTGGAATATTTTTCTTGACATTGTGAGAACGTTCACACATTTCACTAGAACACAATCTCATTTGCTTGGTTTTAGGGATAAGAATCTAGTCATTGTGATTTGTAGACCACCATTAAGCTTAGGGCAATGTACGAGGCCAGCCAAATGTGGTTTATTCAAACCATGTTTAATAAATATTTGACTCAGCATAATAGGCAAACCCATCCATTTGGAAAGTCCTCCCAACCATGAAATCATGCCAAGGGAAAAAGATTTTGACTTTGACTGAATGGAGTGGGCCTAGGAAATGATGAACCCACCCAAAATTTTCTACTGTGGTGGAAGTTTTCCATAGTCTTTGGCAGGTCTTCCCCAAATTTGCTACCTGAGATTCTACAAAGTGGGAACCTTCTGTACCCAAAGACAACATTTTTCTTTTCTCACAAGCTAAGTGTGCAATCCCCAACCCACAGGCACTGTGGGAAGGCTGCCATAAAACAGATGGGGAAATGTCAGTATTCTTCAACTAGTTGTCAACATGGTAGATTGACCCTATTATCCTGCATAATTCTCAAGCCTTACCTTGTATCTCATCTTTATTCCATCTTTGCCTTTTCTTTTCCACAGTTCCAGCATTTGTGACAAACCGATGTCTGTCGATTTTATGGGAATACAGGATCCAGCCATAGTGCGCTACACCCCTCATCAAGTACATGAGTCCAACAAGTTATGAGCTCCTAAGTTGCTGAATATCAGTCAGTATTTTCCTTCCTTTTTCCTACCTGCTTCCTGTTTCATTTATTAATTACAACTTTTGTTTGAAAATTTCCAGTGATGGAGTACCTAGAACTCCAGGAGGCTGTTCCATTGCTTAACTGTTCTCAGGGTCAAGAAATTCCTCTTTGAGTTTGGATCTCCCTCTATGAAGCTTCCATCCTTATCCAACCATCAGGAGCTATGGAGGCAAATCCACACCTTTTTCTCTATGAAAGCCTTTCAGGTGTTTGAAGAGAGGTTTTTTTAATCATATCTCCTTTTAGTTGCATTCTTCTCTCCTCAAAGGAATCCTGGAATTACAAGGTCTCTGTCATCACCAATTACATCTTTCATAGTTACTTGTAAAAGAAAATGGCAATTAAATGAGCTTCATTCTGTAATTCAAGTACCGCTATGTGGTTAGAACTGATCCATCCCTCCAGCCAGTGGAAATTGAATAGATGATCAACGTTCTTTCAAAAGTATTTGCCTTCTTGCTGAAAAGTTTATTTGTAATGTGATAAATATATTGGAAATATTTCTTTTTCCAATAGAGACATAAAACCTGTGAAAAAGATCATCATGTGTGCCAATTTTCAAAAGATGTAATCCCTAATGGAACTGCATAGTTCTTAATGGAACTGCATCTACATGGGGGGAAGTACGCAATGGGGTACCCCAAGGCTCTGTCTTAGGCCCAGTGCTCTTCAACATCTTCATCAATGATTTGGATGAAGGGATAGATGGGGAACTCATCAAACTTGCAGACGACACCAAGCTGGCAGAAATAGCCAACACTGCAGAAGACAGGCTCAAGATACATAAGGATCTTTACAGACTTGAACACCAGGCTCTATCTAATAAAATGAAATTCAGTGGTGAGAAAATTAGGGTTCTACATTTAGTCAATAAAAATCAAATGCACAGATATAGAATAGGTGGTACTTGGCTCAATAACTCAACTGTGAGAGGGATCTTGGAGTCCTAATTGACAATCACTTAAATATGAGCCAGTAATGTGCTGCAGCTGCCAAAAAAGCCAACACAGTCCTAGGCTGCATTAACAGAGGGATAGAATCAAGATCATGTAAAGCAGGCATGTCAAACTGCTGGCCCGCAGGCCAGATGCGTCATGACAAAACCGCACCCACCCCATTGCTGGCAATGGGGAAAAAGTCACGATACGTCGTGCGATGTCACATGATGTCGCGAGTTTGACATGGCTGATGTAAAGTGTTAATACCACTTTATAATTCCTTGGTAAGGCCACACTTGGAATATTGCACTGAGTTTCAGTCGCCATGATATAAAAAAGTTGTTGAGACATTAAAAAGAGTGCAGGGAAGAGCAACAAAGATGATTAGAGGACTGGAGGCTAAAACATATAAAGAACAGTTGCTGGAATTGGGTATGTCTAGTAACTAGTTTAATAAAGAGGAGGTCTAGGGGTGACATGATAGCAGTGTTCCAATATCTCAAGGGTTGCCACAAAGAAGAGGGAGTCAAGCTCTTCTCCAAAACACCTGAAAGCAGGACAAGAAGCAATGGATAGAAACTAATCAAGGAAAGATCCAACCTAGAACTAAGGATGAAATTCCTGACAGTTAGAATAATTAATCAGTGGAACGATTTGTCTGCAGAAGTTGTGGGTGCTCCAACATTGGAAGTTTTAAATAAGAGATTAGACAACCATTAGTCTGAAATGGTATAGGGTTTCCTGCCTGAGCAGGGGGTTGGACTAGAAAACCTCCAAGGTCCCTTCCAACTTTATTATTCTGAAGAGAAGGACGAGGGGGGACATGATAGCAGTGTTCCAATATCTCAGGGGTTGCCATAAAGAAGAGGGAGTCAAGCTATTCTCCAAAGCGCCTGAAGGCAGGACAAGAAGCAACGGGTGGAAACTAATCAAGGAGAGAAGCAACCTAGAACTAAGGAGAAACTTCCTGACAGTGAGAACAATTAACCAGTGGAACAANTTATTATGTGAGTTTGCCTAACTTGTAAACCATGGCATAATGGGGGTGGGAAAAGGTGAGTTGGTTCTATGATTCATAGCTAAACATCACAGAATCCTCTTAGTTGGTTCCCAAAGCAATAATTTAAACAGAGTTATGTCTATCTATCATGTAACACTAAACAATTATTCTTGCTTAAGCTGCCAAGAAGTCAAGATGTACAAAATTTATTGTGCTCCTCCCATCATACTTTCTTGGCTATGTGTTCATATGACCAATCCATCTTGGTCATTGGTAGGGTCCCTTGGAGTTGTCTGCATCTCAGGAAGAGAGGTGGACAATTGATATAATTATGATCAGCAGCCTCAAAATATTCTCATTGGTCAGTAATTAGGACATTCCATTTTGTTAACCAACCAGGACATCAACAACAGTTGAGACAGCATGATCACTAACATATTCTACAGACATAACTGAAGAATCTTTGGAAGGAAACACCAGTGTGTGGTACAATCCATGAAGAAAAAGAAATGATAAAACATGAGTCATGATGTCAGAACGTAAATCCTGGCTATAAAGGCAAGACAAGAAGGGATCCACCTTTAATTCCCATTTGGACTTAATGTTATATTTACTCTGATGAAAAGAACTTGAAGGGATTTGTAATCGGGTTTCTCTGTTTTAAATCATTTGTTTTTGTAAAGCATGTGAATATTATTAAGAGTAAATTTATATTCTTTCACAACCAAGATGTGATTGTGTTATTTTTATTGCATTTCCCAAGGATAGTTTTTTTTACTGGATTTTTAAAAAAAACTTGGATCTCACATGGAAAATCAGAAAATTAATTTTCCTGGATGGAGACTCACAGCGCTCAACTTCTTGAAAGAACAGGGATATAAAAGCTAGAAAGAATTCGGCAGTATTATTATGGAAACTAACTTCCACATTCAGAAAAGTCCCTGGTTTAATACTTATTCACAAAACAAGGTCCTGTTTTGTGAATATAGCCTCTCAATGCTCCTTTCAAACCACTTTTGGGAGAGTACTGAGGGAAAAATTGGGAAAAAATGATGGACTTGATAGAACTAATCTAACAGGGAACTCTGATTTCATAGAGTTTCCAGATATCACGTAGACTTGTTTTCATAACAAAAGCTCAGCTTGGAAATCCTAGTAATAAGGATGAAAATATCCCAATGACTGAACAGAGTGCAAATCTGCCTTACGTTCAGAAAGATATTCAGAGAAACATCAGCTTTATGGGAATAAGATTCTCTAGATCTGTGTTTTTCAAACCTGGCAACTTGAAAATGTGGGGAATTCTGGGAGTTGAAGTTCCCACATCTTCAAGTTGTCAAGTCTGAAAAATATTAATCTAGATGAACATTATCCTGATAACAGATGTTTGGACTATGTCTGTGGGGGAGTGTCAACAGAACGGTCTAGTCTGATCATAGCCATCAATTTTGGTTAGGAGACTCTTATCTATTCCACCTTGCCAGGTGTTACCAGGTCCCATCAAAGAGAGGAGATGTCACTTCAACAGAAAGAGCACAGTTCTGAAGAACAAGATACACAATTCCAATGAAAGGTCTCTCTGGACTGGTGGACATTTACTGCGGTACTGACATGATCTAGATGGCCCTTGAACCTTGAATGGGACAATTGACTGCAGCCACCTCACCCCAGTCACATCACCTTGGTCCCCCCACCCCAGCCAACCCACTGTGATCACCCTTCTTTGACTGCCCCTCCTTAGCTGCCTCACCTTGGGCAATTTGCCATGGGATACCTCACCCCGGGCATTTCACCATGCAGAACACCTGGCCGCCAGCACAGGTACTTCTGGCATTTGGTGAATTATCCCATGTGGCTAGTTGTCCTATGCTACTCCCCACCAAGAGCCCTCGTCATGTGCTGCATCTAATGGGAAGGCAGAGGTCCATCCCTTGGTGTGCTGATTGAGTTATCCTGCACAGTTAATTGTCTCATGTGGTGAATCACCCAAGATGTGATATCCTGCAGCGAGTCGCCTGGGGTGAGGTGGCTGGGGAAGGGTGGCCGTGGATAGGCGACCACAGAGGGGTGACCGTGGTGGATCCACTAGAGCAGTGGGGCTGCGGTAAGGCAGCCAGGGCGAGGCACCAATTGTCCTAGACCCGTTGCCAGGTGCCTGAATTTTGAACATTTATTTATTAGATTTATTTGCAACCCACCTTGTTTCAAAATGACTTGAAACATATGACTGTGGGGATGCTGTGATGCTCACAACTATGAGTACTGGTTGTAAGTCAATTTTTTCGGTAGTATTGTAACTTCAGTCATTGAACTAATGATTGAAAGATAAGGACTATCTGTACTATTTTTATTTTCAGTGATTGCCTATACCAGTGGTGGCGAACCTATGGCATGGGTGCCAGAGGCAGCACTCAGAGCCCTCTCTGTGGGCACGCGTGCCGTCGCCCCAGTCCTAGGCCTACAGCTGGGTTTTATAAAACCTTTTTGCTTTAGGGGTCTGCTGCCACGTGCAAAAAAAAAAAAGTTCAGTCAATTTCAACTTCTTGCGGGAAAAAAAAGTTCTTGCAAAGTTGGAATTGATTGATTGAACTTTTTAGTCCCACCCAGTCTGCTGTTATCACTGCAGCCACGCTCACCCAATGGGCCACACTCACCCAATGGGCCACACCCACCTGGCACTCGACGATGCATAAGTGGATTTTGGGTTGCAGTTTGGGCACTCAGTCTCTAAAAGGTTCGCCATCACTGGCCTATACATCAATGTAGAACCCAGATGCATCAGGGTAAAATATAAAGAAGTATATTAGATGCTGGTACTTTGTTTTGCAGTATGCTAATTGCCATTATAAATTTAAATTAAAATAATATTTTAAAAAGTTGTGCTTCCTATCCCTCTGTTAACAGAAACACATTACTTATTGAGCAGTTCTTTTTAGATAAGGAACAACCATTGCTAAAATTATCTACTTAGCAAAGATTCTGCTAAAAGGCTATCTGACCACTGACATCGCCAGCTAGGAGAGTCTGTTACACAGAAATAATAGCAGTGTTATACAGGTATTCAATTTATTATTTTTACTTAAACATATTCATTCAACAGGAAAAAGATACTTATTCCCAAATAAAACACTAGCAGGAAAAACTCTTTTAGTCCCATAGTTATGAGGGGGCTGTCAGTCTTCTCCCAGGCAAACAAGATTTGAACCAATTAAATAAACACAAAAGAATCTGGGAATATTTGGTAAGTATTGTTTTTGTGAAAAAAACCATTAAGAAAGAATTCCAATGATTATTGTGTGTCTAATGCAAATCCTATATATAGTGAAATAACACTTGAAATTCTTTTGCGCTTATTCCTCCTGGAGGTCCCTTTCTTTGGGCAGATCATGTTCTAGCCATGATCTCCCATCTGGCTGCTTTCCTCTGGCTGCATAAGAATTAATTTCAGTAAGTGCTACAATTGAAGTGCAGCATTAGAAATTTGAATTTGTTCGTGGTGAGAGTAGGAATTATCCTGGGATATTCAGAATGTAGGAATGGTTATAATAGGGAAGCTTTCCTGAGTCGAGTTGCATTCAGCACGTAGAGTCACATGCTCTTGGAAGAGATAGAATGAGACCAAAACTATATGTGCCTTTATTTCCTTTATGTCTGCATTATTTAAAGTTATGAATAATGAATTGTTATTCATAATGTCTCCCTTCTGTAGCATTAAAAATTGAGAAACAGCATTTCAAATGTGGAGGGAGAGAGGAAAGAAATGTGATTTGTTCGTTTGTCTTCTGAGCTATGCATATGGATTCTTAAAGGAGCCCACAGTACAATTGTTAAATCCAGAATCTAAAATTATCCAGCTGGGCCATTATGATATTATAATATGCTTACAGAACTAAGATTGTTATAACCGCCAATATCTCTCTTACAGATTTCATATTCCTTATGTTGTTGATTTTTTTAACGTGTTTTAATGACTGCAGTAATCATTTTATTTTAAAAATAATTGAATTGTCCCTAAGGCTAGCCTATAGCTATACATAAAGCTATGCCCAATCCCCCAATAAAGTTATCCTCATTGTTCTGTCTAGTGCTATTAGACTGTTTTAGAAAGCTTTGGGTGCCACATTATCCTAGAAGTCCTTCATTCATGTTGCAGTCCACTCCTGCACTCACCAGTCAATGAGTAGATCTGGTAACTTGCTATTGTCAAGTTAATCTAGACCAGTGCTTCTCAATCTCAGCGACTTTAAGTTCTGTGGACTTCAACTCCCAGAATTCCCCAGACATTGTTTCTTAACTTCAGCAACTTTACGAGAATTATGGGAGTTGAAGTCTATACATTTTAGTAACTGAGGTTGAAAAACACTTGTCTAGAAGGATAGAGGTCTAGGACAGAGAATCAGTTTCAATAGAAAATCTGCATTACACTTTTTTCTGCAGCATGCACCAGTAGGTCTGCAAGTGAAAATGTACATACAATTTCCATTGATTCACTTTTAAATGCTTCTGAAGATCGGTCCTTCCTACAATAAACACTGTCCCCTGCTCTGCAAATTTTTAATGGGAGATTCCAGGAGGTGAACTTGCTTCTTTCGGTCTTTTCTCAATAGATCCTGCCTTGACAAGTCCAGCTTTTGTTTAAATCTTCTTTCTCTCCCAGCTTCTGTTTTTTTACTTGTCTCCAGGTACTTTTCTTGTTTTTTGCACTTACTGATGTTTCCTTGGACTTTTCTCCACAACCTGTGAAATCACTCTCCAACCCATCTAGAAGATGGCAGAAAATTACACTGATGTTAAATTTTGTGGTGCCTCTGCTCCCTTACCTCATTCTGCCGTGATATAAATTCAATCAAGCCACTTGCAATCAAGCCACTTACAAAAGCACTGAGCCACTTGCAGTGATGCAGAGGTTCTTGGTCCCATCATTTAATTCCTGCAGTCTTTCCCACAATTGGCCAGAGGAATAGCAAAAGTACTAGCCTCAATAGGACTGAATTACAGAATAACATCGCAGGGTGAGGTTGTGCATTAAAACAACTTGCCTCCAGAAGTTGTGAATACTCCAACACTTGAGGTTTTTAAGAAGAGATTGGACAACCATTTGTCAGAAATGTTATAGGGCTTCCTGCCTGAGCAGGGGGTTGAACTAGAAGACCTCCAAGGTCCCTTCCAACTTTGAATCTGGGTCATAAGTAGCTTTTGGGGGGGTCTGTCATAACTCCAACCGGTCACTAAGTGATGGTTGTAAATCAAGGATTACCTGTAATTAGGATTAAGAGGTGAGCTGGATTCGATCCTGGTAATATATAGGACTTCAGGGGTGAAGTCTCAATTTTGTGTGTGTGTGTTTGTGTCTGTGTGTCTTATGTGTGCCATCAAGTGTCTGTACCTTCAAGTCAGTGTTGACTCCTGGCAATTGCCTGTGGTTAGCCATTGCCTCCTTCTGAGGGCAGAGAGAGACTGACTGGTCCAAGGTCACCCAGTTGGCTTTGTACCTAAGCAGGGACTAGAACTCACAGTCTCCTAGGTTCTAGCCCAGTGCCTACTGTACTGAACTGGCTCTTTTTATCCCTAGAGCCACCAGCTCAGTATTTCAAGGATCAGTTCCATATTTAGGATGAAAAGGCCCCGTCCTCTTTCAACCTAAGAAGGAATGCAAATGGTTTTCTCTCTTTTTACTCTGAGAATCAATGCTCTTGAAATGCCCCAAACTGGAGTTAGAGGCTATTA